GTAAGTCACTTTTTATTTGGAGGCTCCAAGGCTATTTTCATTTCCATTCCATTGACGAAAATTTGTTGATTTAGGGATTAGATTTAGAGATTTTGAGTTTGAAAAATTTAGAATTCTTCACGATTTTGGTTTTGGTGATCTGGGGATTTTGTGATTTTGGGGTCAAAAGAAAATGGATTTTAAGTTCGGGTTTAAAATCGGATCGATTTCAGTTTATTGTTTTGTAATCAGGTCATTATACGGTTAAGTAACGGTTTTGTATTCTATTAATTTGGTTAATAGAAACTTGGTCTACTGGTAAACCGAGATTAAACGGATTTGAGAGAAAATATGAGTTTAACTTTCATTTAGTGGTGAAATAAGCGCTTTAACTTCCATTTCGTGGGAAAATTTTACGAGAATAGTTTTCCGATAAATCATAATGACGAACTAAGAATCATCCATGATTACAAATCTCTTTATATTGTTTTCTATTGCACACAATGTAGATACACAAGCCTACTCAAAGCAGGTAAAGGAATCTTATGCTTAAAGTGTAACCGTACCAAGATAAAAAAAAAGTGAATAGATACAAAGATTGAGGAGAAGTTGGTGGAAGAAACATGGAATTGATACCCATGGAACTGGTTAACCGAGGGAATCTAGCAACTTAACCAGACGAAGAAGAATGTAATCTGATTCCACCAGTAGAGAGTGGAGTTTGAGAGAGCTTCAAGGACCGGCAAGAGGAACTTGAGGTCCATACATCGCATCGCATCACATCACACTTGAGTCCTCAATCAGGTTGCACCTATTCCTACTCTGTTCCATTTCCCAAAGCCAAAAAACACACTCTCAAGTCTCAACCTTTATTCACAATGCCGGTTTTTGGATTTTAAAAAGATTTGGGAAGAAAAATAATAATACCTATGAGTAGCCACCTCAGCGGCCAAGCTTTCCTCCCCTAGCCTCCGCAGTCCCTTGCTCAGAACCTCCGTCACGTACTCGTCAGCCTCCCACGACTCTGACCCCCACCCGCCGTCTCTCATCATCGCGTATATCCTCACCGCCGACTCCCTCCTCTCCGCTCCCACCACCGCCTTGATCAGCTTGGCCAGGGCCTTGTCGGTTTCGTAACCTCCCTCGATTCCCTCCAATTCGCCGATGAGACTGTCTATCTGGTCAAGCTCGCCGTTCCTGGAGAGGGCGGTGACGACTTGGGCGTAGAGAGTGAGGTCGAGGGGAGGATACTCGGAGCGGAGGACGGAGAGAACGTGGAAAGCGAGTGTGCAGTGGTCCTGGCGGAGAAGCTCACGGAGGACGGCGAGGAGATCGGCTTTGAGAAGACGGCGGAGAGGAGGGAGGCTGAGGGAGAGAGAGCCGGTGCGATGGGCTCGCTTGAGGGACTGGATCGATTGGATGGCTTCGGAGCTGAGGATCCGACCTTTGAGAAGAGGTCCGCGGTTGTCGCGTGGGCCGCATCGGATCCTTGTTCCTCTACTAGGAACGACGGTAAGACTCGGTGGTCGGGGGTTTAGGGTAAAATAAGGGCGGAGAGAAAGCAGAGCCATCATCCACAGACAGTCACAATCCTCTCGTGGGATCCCTCTTTCTTTTGATAGGCCAAGCCCATACAAAGCCC